ATAACAAAATACAAAAATATGTTTAACTAGCCAAACCCCAAAACCCCAAAACCCCAAAACCCCTTGAGCTGATTTTATGTATAGTAATTGATACATGTATATATATGTATATTTGAATTGATTAGGGAGAAGGATAATTGATAATTTTCAATAGTGAAGTCATTCTTTTGGCTCTCTTGGTTCTCTTGGACCGGTTCCTCTGGTACCTCTGAATGGTCTATCTCCACCTCTGTCGCCACCTCTTCCTCTGTATGGTCTGCTTTCGCCTTCGGCATAATCTCTTCTTTCTCCTCTGCCATATCTTGATGATCTGTTTTCGTAGTTATTTTCTCTATAACCACCTCTGGCTTATCTCTCACCACCTTCTTCTCCTTCTCTTCTATCTCCTCTGTAGCCACCTCTACCTCTGAATGGTCTCTCTTCACCTTCAACATTTCTATCACCTCTGTAGCCACCTCTACCTCTGTATGGTCTTTCTTCACCATCAACATTTCTATCACCTCTGTAGCCACCTCTACCTCTGTATGGTCTCTCTTCACCATCAACATTTCTATCTCCTCTGTAGCCACCTCTACCTCTGTATGGTCTTTCTTCACCTTCAGCATTTCTGTCATCTCTATAGCCACCTCTGCCTCTTCTTGGTCTCTCTTCATTGTCGTATTATCTTGGGGGTCTATCGTAGGTATCTCTATCTCCAACTCTTCTGTCGTCTCTATCTCCACCTCTGAAGCCACCTCTGCCTCCTCTGGTTCCTCTGAAACCACCTCTGAAGCCGCCTCTGCCTCCTCTGAAGCCACCTCTACCACCTCTGGGTCTGTAGCCTCCTCTTTGATCTCCACCTTCGGAAGATCTCTCGTTGTATGCCTTAACTTGATCCTCTGGGATTGGTTCTTGATAGCCTACACCTTTATCGAGGTTGTTTTTGCTGAGGGTAATGGTGAGCATGGTTACATTTCTTTCGAATTTGAGATGATCAAGACCCTCTTCGAGTGGTTCGTATTCGTCAATAATTGTCACATTTGAGATCTCATTAAGTTAGTGAAGTTTTGCAACTCTATGCTTGACGAGCTCAGCCAACTTGACTACGTTCTCCATTGCGTTAGAAACACCTCTAATGACAACTGAATCTTGACCTTGAACCTTGCCAGTCAATAGTTCGTTGGCTCTTCTCAAGTATCTTCCGATACCTGGGCCTCTCTTGACTCTAATTTCATTCTCTGGGAGCTTGTCTTGAGTCTTGTCAACTCTTAAATACTTATCAGCCATAGTTATATCTTTATATTAAATATAAGGTTAATCCTAATACTAAATTAATATTGGCAGATATTTTAAGCAAAGTATGAATATATTATGTGTCAGTATTTTAAAGACCTATATCATCATTGGGGGTTTTGGGGTTTTGGGG